TCCAAAAAACAGTTGAAGAGTTGAACACCTGAGTTTAGGATCTCAGAACTCCTCGTGTTTACATTATACTATCAAAAAGACGTCTTTGTGCAGTTTTTCTTTTAAATTAGAACTTTGATGTCTGTGGGATCCGCAGGGGGTTTTTTGAAAAGCTACTTATACAACTTACAAATTATCGATCATGCAACTGAACCTGCCAGTCACAGAGCTGAGCTGGATCCCTGTCGTGTGTGAAATCAGGACATGTAACGGTTTGTAGGAGTTCACGGGAGCCCAGGTATCGGTTGAGACTGTGGTCTGGAGGGATGAAATCTTCTACCTGGTCCTTCTACCTTCCAAGGTGGCCATTTGATTCCATCTGCCAGAGGAGCTTTTGTTTCCCAAGTCCGCAGCGCATGCATTAAGCTCCTTTTGGTTGCAAAGGGCAGATACCTGGAGTCATCCCAGTGAGGCGCTGCAGAGTGACAGGGGGCACTGAGGGTCCCTGCTGGGGACGGGGCTGCAGCTCTCACTGTCAGACCCCAGCCCTGGACACGCCTGCCACAGCTGAAGTGACTCGTGTTGCTGTCACACACTGGCCAACGCTCGGAATGCCTGGGTTTCAGCTCCCTGAGAAAGAGGGTGTGAACCATTCCCCAGGTCACCAGCGAACACGGAAAGCACTTGCTGGGCCCCACCCAAGGAAGACCAGGAGCCTGTTGTGGTCCCTGGTCCCCCCGTGGGGGCAGGACAGCAGGTGCCAGGGCAGAGAGTGACCATACATGTGCATGGCTCACTGCATGGTCGGGGGCCCAGCACCCACGCTGTCCTGAATGCTCCATGGTTGGAAGGATGAGTGATGCATCTGGTTTTACAGAAAGCGGTGAGTTGGGGTTATTTTCAAGGCATACTTCATATGCTATTCCTTGACATATGATTTTATGAGGCAGCCTTGTTTCTATCCACCCCAACATGATAGTCATGGTGTTGCAGGAGAGGCCAATGTTCGGCAGAATTCTCATGCATCTCCACAGAGCACACGGTGTTTGAGCACCGAGCATGCCAGAGACTCGCAAGCGTCTGAGATAAAAAATAGCAGCCCAGGCCCGGCCCTCCAGGGGGCCTGAATGGACAGCTCTCACCTCCTGTGCCAGGGACGCCTCTACTCTGAGTCCCTGCTGGAATGTGATGGTTCTGACACAGGGGTTATCACCAATTCACCGTGTAAGGAACTGAGCTTTGGTGAGAGTCAACTCAGTGCAGCAGACCAAGCACCTTGGGACCCCGCACCTGCAGCAGGTGCCTACGCGTGAGTCCTCCACGGAATGGTGATTGGCAGAACAGCAAGCACCAAAGCCAGGGCACTTTGTTCCGGCTAAAACCTGGGCTCTGTGAGCTGTGGGTGGCGACTCTGAACCCCTCCTGGGACTGTTTGGGAATGAGCAAAACCAGAGTGGTGGAGATGCCGGCCATAAGTGTGGCGTCTTCTGCCGCTGCCTCTCGCCTCACTCCGAGAACTTACTCTTCTCAGTTTCAGGAGCATTTTCACCATATTGTCTTGCAGTACTCAAAAGTGGGGTGTCCTTTCACTTATTTATATTGTCACAAATTTATTTCAGCAATGCTTTATAGCTGTCAGCATACAAGTCTTTTGCTTTTTAAAAAAATGTTTAAGAAAACTTAAACAGTTTTCTTAAACAGAGTCTCTGTCACCCGGGCTAGAGTGCTGTGGCATCAGCCTCGATCACAACCTCAAACTCCTGGGCTCAAGCAATCCTCCTGCCTCAGCCTCCCTAGTAGCTGGGACTACAGGCAAGTGTTACCGTGCCTGGCTAATTTTTTTTTCTATATATTTTTAGTTGCCCAGCTAATTTCTTTCTATTTTTAGTAGAGACAGGGTCTTGCTCTTGCTCAGGCTGGTCTCGAACTCCTGAGCTCCAGCAATCCTCCTGCCTGGGCCTCCCAGAGTGCTAGGATTACAGGCATGAGCCACCGCGCTCGACCAGAAAACTTTTTTAATGGGGCTACTAGAAGGTTCCTTTTGACATATGGGGATAGTGTCTTTGGTAGTGTCAGATGGTAAATGCAGGGCCAGGTTCAGGCCGTTTCTTACCACGTCCCGACCTGTGTGTCTCTTGTGGTGTCCTAGCAAGCGCAGGGAGGGTGTAGGGCAGCCGAGGGTTCACCAGGAGCAGGATGAGCAGGTGCCACCACGGACAGAGTGAAAGGGCCTCAGGGTAAGTGGAAGGACCGGGTGACCAGGAGAGGGGAAGTGTGATTCCTGGGACCCCACGTCCAGTTCCAGTTGCTGAGGAAATGTTGGCTGAGTGTGACTAGTTTGGGGAAAATAGGTTGTGGTGCAATGTGTCAGTGTATCTAGTTTTGTCTTGGTTTGGCTTGTTTTTGCTCTAGGTTCAGCGGCTCCCACCTGGAGCAGGCTCCACCTTGCAGGTGGACATCAGGTGCACACAGTGCAGGTCGAGGGTCTGGCCCCCCCTTCGGGCAGGCAGCAGCATCCCGCTGACGATTCCAGGCAGAGGGAGGGGGAACGAGCATTCCCATGGGGAGGGGCCAGGCAGAGACCTCTCCTGATGGCCTTGTCCTCTCTGCTGTCACGCTGGGGCGGGTGGGCCGGGCCACGTACTGTCCCCAGAGTCTGGGACCGTCGCCACGCACAGCCAGTGCCGAGTGTGCGGCCATCAGCTGGGTTTAGCCAGAAAGGGGAAGCATCACCCCCAGACGCCACTGTCCCCACTGTGGGCAGCCAAGTGTTGGATCCAGGAGGTTGCCACGTCCACGCATCTGGCCTCAGTCTCGCCAGCCTGCAGCTGGGGTGCATGTCGCTAGTGTGAGGGCAGGAGGAGGGCAGAGGGGCCTGCCAGGGGCGGCCGTGGCACTGCACACGCTGCCGCATGCGTGTGCGCCATGCTGTGAGTTTCTGTTCTCACACTCACAAGACGCTTTTCAGAAAGGGCGGGCCGCCAGCCTCGTACACCCGACAGGGAAACGTGCACTTAGGGTCTGTGTTGAGTTTGGGGAGACAGTTGTGTGTTAATGAATAATGACTATAATTGCTGTTTTCTCTTGCTTGATAACAAAAATGGTGCCGTGAATAGCTGGAAATTAGGAAGCTAAGATGCTTTCCACGTTGTGTTTGTCACCTAATTTTCACAAAGGGAAGCTGCCAGCCCCTGAGTATTTATTATATGTTGCACAGACATATTAAAAAAACTCATTCAAGTGTTCATTACCCTCTTCATTATTGCCATTACTCACGGGACGGTTTCATCATGTGTTGTCATCCTGATGTTGTGTTTAAGAGGAAATGCATAAGTTTCCACATGTATCAAGAAATTCAGTCTTATACAGTGAAAATGAGAATGTGTTATCGACACATTGCATAATACAATTTATTTCAGCTAAACTTTTATTTCTTGTACCATCCTTTTATGTAGCCACATTCATAATGTAGCTTCTGGGCTAAACATTAGGCAGCAACAGGAAACGAGAGTGAAACGATAACGGGCTTATGCTGAATGCGGAGGGACATTAGGGTTGTGTTAAATTACGTGTTAATGGGAAAACAGGGTGGAAGACAACAGGAAGGCAACTTAATGCTGCTGTAGAGTCCAGATTACAGAACCTCGTTCTGCCATTTATCAGTTGAATATTGAATTTCCTTTGAAAACTTGCTTTTAATTACATTAAAATATAATATAACACAAATATTCCCCCCCCAATATATTACGGTGCCTTGGCTATTGTTTGGCTGTTTGGGAAGGGCAGGCATGGAGGCTGGGGGGCTGCTCCTCCTGCCGGACGGTGTCCTCACCTGGGGCGGGGCAGGGCCAGCTGGCTCTCTGAAGTCGGGGTCCACCTGCTCGAGTTGGGGGCCGTTTGCTAGGGGGAGTGTGGGAGGGATCCCCCCGCTGCCCACAGCAGGAGGAGCAGCCGGCACTTTGCTTGGGTCCACTGGGGTGTCTCAGGATGCATTTGAGTTCTCTTGCACTGTGGACCCCTCCTCGCTGCGACTTCTTGGAGGCCCATGAAGTTACATCTTCTCCTTCTCTCTCTCCCTGTCCCAGCTGGCCTGGACAGCGCTGTCCCAGATCCAGGCAAAGGGAGCATTTCGACCCCACACCTTGGGCTGGTCTTTAGTCCATCGCTGCTGGCAGGTGGTGATGTTTTCCCCACATCAGTTACCTGGAGAGCTGGGGTCAGAGGTGGCAGGAGAAGCCTCTTAGCTCCCTTCCCTGGTGTCCCTCTGTACCTGGTGTGGGCGTCTGAGTGGTGGCCCATGGGTTCTGGGTCTGACTGACCAGCCCTGGGAGTGCAGGTGACACATCTCAAGTCGGGGACAGTGGTGGGGAGCGAAGGGTGGGTGGGGGAGACACTATTAGTGATGCAGGAGCTGTGGGGAGGGAGTGAGCCCACGGGTCTGAACCCAGGGTGTGGCTGGCCCCAGGAACGCTGTTGGCTGGGCCTTGGGGACTGGTGCTCCCTTTCTGGTGGGAGGAGGAGGAAGGCTGCCCTCGTCCAGGCCTCCAGCCTCCATGGAGCTTTTTGAACCAGTGCCCCAGGAAACGACTTCACGACTAAGATGCTAGTGCGGGACACATTGTCTTTCTGGACAATATGGCTGATGAAATACCAGGTGCCATTTTCCAAACTTCTAAAGCTAAACCACAAAATTCAGTCAAAGTGGAATGTAACTAGGTTTTCCTCCCACATTGTTTACTTAAATCCAGAAAATCAGAGACCTGCGATAGCCCATAGACTGTAAGTATTTGTCGTGGTAGGAAATCATTTGGGAAACCAAAGCTGCTTCCTGATATCCCACACCTGGGGCAACGTGCACAAAAGAACGACCGACCCCCACCCAGCGCCCAAACCGAGATTGCACAGGGACTCTTGGGGGAGAGTCGCTGGGGGTGGGGGTCAGACATTCCACTTTCTAACACAGGGGTGTGGGGCCACCTTCCCGCTGAGCTCTAAGCAGCGTCTCTGTGTTCTGTCTGCAGACCAGCAGTACTCATGGGCGCCGGCTCAGCACTTCAATGAGGAGCGCTACTCACCCGCACCGCGGAACATGAAGGGACTGTCGGGCAGCCGCACGCAGCCGCAGCTGTGTCCCGGCCACACCTGCGGCCTGGCGGGCCCCGAGGACTGCGAGCGCGTGCACGAGCACATGCGCCATGCGCAGGATGCCCGGCAGCCCTACCTGCTCAGCCCGGCCGACAGCTGCCCGGGGGACCACCACCGCTGCTCGCCGCGCAGCTCGGTGCACTCGGAGTGCGTGATGATGCCCGTGGCGCTGGGTGACCACATGTCCAGCAGCACCTTCCCCAGGATGCACTACAGCTCACACTACGACACGCGGGACGACTGCGCCATGTCGCACGGCGGCGCCAAGATCAACCGCATCCCGGCCAACCTGCTGGACCAGTTCGAGAAGCAGCTGCCCCTGCATAGGGACGGCTTCCACACCTTGCAGTACCAGCGGACATCGACAGCGGCAGAGCAGCGCAGCGAGAGCCCCGGCCGGATAAGGCACCTCGTGCACTCCGTGCAGAAGCTCTTCACCAAGTCCCACTCCTTGGAGGGCTCCTCCAAGAACAACGCCAATGGGACCAAGGGCGACGGCAGGGCGGACGACCACCACCACGGCCACCACACCAAGCACGGCAAGCGCAGCAAGAGCCGGGAGCGCAAGCCCGAGAGCAGGCACAGGTCTGGCATGAGCAGCTGGTGGAGCTCCGACGACAACCTGGACAGCGACAGCACCTACCGAACGCCCAGCATGGTGAACCGCCACCTGCTGGACCCCCTCGCGCACTGCTATGCGGACACGCTGCAGAGCCCCTTTGGGGACCTGTCCCTGAAGACCTCCAAGAGCAACAGTGACGTCAAGTGCTCGGCCTGCGAGGGCCTGGCGCTGACACCGGACACCAAGTACATGAAGCGCAGCTCCTGGTCCACACTCACCGTCAGCCAGGCCAAGGAGGCGTACCGCAAGGGCTCGCTGAACCTGGACAAGCCGCTGGTGCCCCAGGACATCAAGCCGCCCTTGCGGTCATGCCACTACCTCCAGGTAAGGGGCTGCTGCTCTCGCGCAGAGGGCTCTTAGGTTACTGTTGTTGTAGTTTGAATCGACGGGGAAGAACAGTGTAAGTTTTCGGGGCACAGCACAGTGCTTTGAAATACGGGCATGTTTGGGAGGGCCGCGTCTGGCTAGTTAACATCTGCGTTTCCTCATACGGTTATCTTTCTATGTGAGAACACTTAGAATCTTCTCTCCCAGCAATTCACTGAGCGCGGTCGCCGTGATGTGCGTAGAGCTCTTGCGCTTGCCTCTCCTGCCCCGCTGAAATGTCTCCCTTTAAGCAGAGTCTCCCAGCCCCGTCCCTGCTTCTGCCAGCCTTGGCTACCCGCTGCTCTGCTTCCGCCTCTGCGGCCCCCACTCTGTTGGGTTTCACGTTCCAGGTTGCACACGGTGTCTATCTGTCTGAGCCCGGCGCATCTCACTTTGCACGATGTCCTCCAGGTTCTCCTGGGCTGTTGCAGACGGCAGGGTTTCCTTCCTCCGAGGTTGAGTCCAGTCCACTATGCGTGTGGACCACGTTTGCTTTGTCCATCCATCCGCTGATGGACGCTCCCATTCACTCCGTGTCTGGGCCTTGTAAATGCAGCCGTGGGATCTCATCACAGGGCTGGTGGGAAACCGTCCAGAGCCCCTGGGCACCCCGGAAGGCCTCGTAACATCCCTGTTCCGCCCTGGCGCCAGCAGCGTAGACAAGACAGGCTGTTCCTCTCAGGCCTCTGAGGCCGGAGCGCTCAGCAGCAGCGACAGAGAGACGTTGCCCGTTAGTGTTTCTCATGGAAAGTTGGTGGCCCCACGACAGAGGGTCTGCCCTTTGGTGAGTTCACTCCCCATACTCGCCCATGGCTTCTTGAAGCCTCACATTAACAGGGCTGGTTGTGAAAAATGCGTCTGTTTCTCTGGGGTGTGGATTAAGTGAATTCGCTAAAGGCAAAAAAGAATTAAATACAGTGATCACGAGAGCTCAGGTTCTGTGGGATTCCCTGTTGTGTGTAATTCCGTCCGAGTCACGCACCCCGAGAGTGCAGGGAGACCCCCACTTTCAGGGGGGCCTCTCTGTGTCCTCCTCTTGGCCAACAGCCCCGCGGATGGCACCTGGGGTCTCAGGTCTGACAAATGCGCATCACGGGTACGGCATATGACCCAGCTCACAGACCGTGTCCACCTGTGGCGAGCAGGGCCCACCTGCCTGTGGTGCGCTGGGTCAGAGAAGCCATTGCACATGCGCAGTCAGGGGCAGCCGAGTTGCCAGGAGGCCAGGGTACAGGACACCTGAGTGGCTTCTCGGGAGTCCTGGGCAGGAAAGTCGTTTTTGGCAGCACCGGTCTCGACCCGGCACGTTGCCCTGGTTCTTTGTGAGAGGAACTGCTCACCAAATTGCTTTTATAGACCTACTTATTCAGAGACAGATTGGCAGCTGGATAAAATATTTGTTTTGCTAGCAGTGGAAGAGGCTTAGATTTTGCTTGGAGCAGGAAACCCTAATAAAATCCAAATGTAAAAATGCTCTCTTGCTGCTTCTGTGTGAACCTGGGGGGTTGCTAGTTTGGTGCCCTCATGGTCTCGAAAGCTCTCTGGCCAGAAGATTCGTGAAGGTGAGAGAAGGAATTACATGCGTGTCCCTGGGACTCGCTGAATGGATGTCCTGCGTCTCCGAGTCTCCAAAGACACCCTCCAGCCTCTCCCGCCAATCACATTAGCTGTGGGTTCCTGGCTTCTGTGGGTTCCCGTGGATTTTATCCAGCGCCGGGATAGAGAGGAATTAGAGGAATTCGTCAGCAGGGGCCACGGCAAGCGTAAGACTTAAGAGACTAAGAAGGAAGAAATAAATGTTCACAAGCTAGAGAGATTTCCAGCTGAACAAGGGCATTACTTTTTATTTTCACCTTCGGTTTGCACAGAACATAAAGTTAACATTAGGCCGGGCGCTGTGGCTCACGCCTGTAATCCTAGCTCTTGGGAGGCCGAGGCGGGCGGATTGCTCAAGGTCAGGAGTTCAAAACCAGCCTGAGCAAGAGCGAGACCCCGTCTCTACTATAAATAGAAAGAAATTAATTGGCCAACTGATATATATATTAAAAAATTAGCCGGGCATGGTGGCGCATGCCTGTAGTCCCAGCTACTCAGGAGGCTGAGGCAGCAGGATTGCTTGAGCCCAGGAGTTTGAGGTTGCTGTGAGCTAGGCTGACGCCACGGCACTCACTCTAGCCTGGACAACAAAGTGAGACTCTGTCCCAAAAAAAAAAAATAAATAAAGTTAACATTAGAGGGAGATTTTTCCCCTGTTTTTAAGTAGGTCAAACAGATGATAAATAAGACTGAAATTCCTCTGCCGAGCTCTCTTTTCTGTATTTTCTGCATCAGCAGACAAAGCTCCAAAGGTCAAACTGTCAGTGAAGCTTGTGGGAACGGTGGCAGGTGACCCCCACCGAAGCTCCGCTCTGCCGTAGGACAAGGAGCTCTGGGGACACTTGGGGAGGGGAGGCCCCCTTAGCTGGGCAGAGGGAGACAATGGTGTAGCCTCTGCCCCGTCCTGGGGGAGCCCTGTCCTCCTTCCACCCTCCGCGGCTCCCGCCCAGGTGTCTCCCCTACCCCACCTACGGGGGTCCTCTCAGCCTCGGCCTGGCCCCTCCAGGTGAAGAGGCCACAACTCCGCATTTTCTATCCATGCTTTACTCTCATGTTTGCCATGTTCACAGGCAGTAGATGCCTGGATTTTTACACGCGAAGCTCATTGCTTTCGACAATTTGGGGGCAGAAGCAAGAAAAGAACAGAGAGGGGAGGAGCAGGATGAAAACCCTGAGTGATGACATTTCACATGTCTAGAAAGTGTTTCCAAAATCTCCCCGCCCCTTCCCGCAGCGGGTCCCAGCCCACCTGGGCGCTGCCAGTGCCTCTGCAGCCCCTGCAGTACGGACCCCAGACTCTATTCATGGGGAGCAAGGACAGCTGCCTCCAAGTGCCAGTGAGTGTTCAGCTGTGACATCTGTGACGTCTCCAGCCATGCACAAAAACACGTCTTAAAACTCCCATCTTTCCCAGCTATACTTATTGCCCAGATTGTGTGGTATAGTTTAGAAAAGTCCTCATCTTTACAGAGTGGGGCCAGACGCCCTGTGTCTTGTTTGTACAAGGAACATTTATTAATAAAAGGGCTGTCAAGGAGAGCTCAGCGCTGGCCGCTGACCCCGGGTGTCCACGTGGTGAAAGCTAAACTCTAGCGGAGCGTCAAGGGCTGAGGGTGGCCTTGGAAGGCCTGGGGATCGTCTCTGGCCGTCCTGCTGCGGTGCCTACCACGGGTGTCCCAATCCCGTCTCCCTGCATGCGGGTGGCCAGGCGGAACACGCGCTCACCTGTGGAAGCAAGGAGACCTCCCCCTGAGGGAAACAGCTTTGGACGACAACATCCTTCCTCGGTTTCAACACCTGAAAGAGATTATCACTGCAAAATCCTGGCCCCTTTCACCTGTGTTCTGCCGCCTGAAAGGATCTTTTAGTATGCAGCGTTGCACTGTCCTTAACGCAAGAAACAGGAGGTAGCAAAATGCATGCTGATGTCAGCCCTACCAACGTGCCTTTAAACAAACATCCTGAGCACCACTCGCCACTGTGTGCAAGTAATCAGGGTGATGGGATAATTGGTTGCTGTCAGGTGCAGCAAGGACTGTGGATTGGACTTGCAGGGGCTGTAGCTGTCGTGAAGCGAGTTCATTCATTCATTCATTCCCCGGAGGCTGTGCAGCCACTCCCAGATGTATCCTGGGCCACACCTCTGCATCTGGCTGCAGGTTGGTAACAGTGACACAACAGAGAAAGATGCATTTACTGAGCACGGTGACATTTCAGTATCCCTCCTCTGTCTTTTGATAGTCTCCACACATATGCTCTGGAATTCGTGTTTGGTGCTTGAATCCATCCTCTGAAGCTGACTGTGGTTGACACTCAAATTCCTCCGTCAAAGACTGCAAAATTGGCTCCTTAAATCAGAAACAGAAACATACAAGCTGGTCTCATTTGTTAGTTAATTTGCAGGCTGCTGAAAAAAACTTTACTTCGTTTTCTTATGGAAACATGGTTTTTTGTTTGTTTGTTTGTTTGTTTTGCCTTTTTTTTTTTTTTTTACTTTTTTTTTTAGATTTGGAGACGGGGTCTGACTGTGCTCAGGCAGTGTTCAGGCTGGTGTCAAACCCCTGAAGCAGCAGCTATCCACCCGTCTCGGCCTCCCAGAGAGCTAGGATGACAGGCGTGAGCCACCGCGCCCGGCCAGAAACATGGTTTTAATTCGCTAGAAATCCCAGGAACCTGCCAGAGTGAATCTCTCCCCTGACGGCAGATGGGCTGCGGCTCCACCTGCGTCTGCCAGCCTCAGCCGCTGCCCGGACCGCCTCCATGGACGCTGGCCAAGAGAGGCTCTCGCTGGCTTCCCCGCCTTCCCTTCCTTCCTGACCCTTCTGCTGGCTGGACTCTAATTAATGAGGACCCAGAGCTCGCCTCGGGAAGCCTCACTGGTGCCTGGCCCCTCCTCTCCGCCAAGAGCACCCAGCAACCCTTCCACCCTGGCTTCATGCCCTAATTACACTGTGACTCATCTCATTTCACGTCCAATGCCGAGCTGAATGTCACTGAGGGCCATGGCTTTTCTTAAATTAAATATGAGGCATTATTATTACAAAAGCAATATATGGTCAATGCAGAAAATTTATAAAATATGAGTATGAAGCCTGTGCCCCCACCTCCCAGTGAAGACACCTGCTTCACACCCACCCGCTGTCTCTGTGCCCAGTGCAGACACACCTGCTGTAAGAACATGCCAGCATTTGGGAGATTCTCTTCTCCACCACGAAGAACCTGCTGCCTTAGTTCCTTTGACTACAGAGCTGCATGCGATGGTGCAGTTGCTATGTATTAATATTTTGGAGTTCCCTAACTCAGCTGTTGTATGTGGTGTCTTTTAACTTTTGTAAATGTGAATTTGACCCATGGAGTCAACTTTACCCAGAATCTCCAGGTGGCTATTCAGAGCTTATGATCCCCTGGGAAAGGAACCCTGTGCCCTGAGCTTCTGGAAACACGGTGTTCAAAAAGCTCCATGGTTTTTATCATGTTGTAGTGTGTGATCTAAAGGTTCATGCATGTCAATGAATACCAAAGTACTGACCTGCTCTGCCATCTTCATAGTTTACCATGTCCTGACACTGGAAACTGGAAACTTTAACACAAAAGCACTGAGCAGGCACCCTGTGGGGCATTAGGTTGGTAATATATAGCATGTACAGGTGTTCAGTTCTGTACCCAGCAATAGATAACACATACAGGTCTTCAGTGCTGTACCCAGCAGTAGATAACATGGACAGGTGTTCAGTTCTACACACAGCAGTAGATAACATGGACAGGCGTTCAGTTCTACACACAGCAGTAGATAACATGGACAGGCGTTCAGTTCTGTACCCAGCAGTAGATAACATTGACAGGTGTTCAGTTCTACACACAGCAGTAGATAACATGGACAGGCGTTCAGTTCTACACACAGCAGTAGATAACATGGACAGGCGTTCAGTTCTACACACAGCAGTAGATAACATGGACAGGCGTTCAGTTCTGTACCCAGCAGTACATAACACATATAGGTGTTCAGTTCTGCACTCGGCAGGTCAATATGTAACATGTACAGGTGCTCAGTTCTCTACCGAGCGGCAGGTGTTGTGACTAGGTACAATATCCATTTCTTCTCAGAGTGCAGGGGTTTTGCATATATGATATAGTTTGGCTTCTAGAGTAACCTCACTCCTTCATTATCTTGCAATTAAGGGATAAGTGTACAATAATGCAGGCACTTGCTTCCTAATTTTCTTCTTTTTCTCTTCCTTCTTTTTCCAGTTTTCTCAAATTTTAATTCTCTTTTATACTGAAAGGAAATTAATCTAAATGGTAGCAGTGGATTGTGTTACCTGCCAAGATTACAAGTGTTTTGCTTTCTTCTACTTTTCTAACATTTTCTCGCTCTCTCCACAATGCTTGTCTATCAATTTCATAATGGTAAAAAACAATAGTTCCATCTTAATGTCCTTTTAGGATTCAAATGACGAGTGCTAAGAAGCATCTATTTTTATGCATCTAAGTTTAAATGACCAATGACCATGACGAACCGTGTCTTCAGGGAATTGTAGAGAATGTGTCCCCCAAAAGAGCCGCGACGCAAATCTGGCTGGCAAGAGTGATGCGTGTCTGTGTCTGTCCTGCCCAGGTGCCCCAGGACGAGTGGGGCGGCTACCCCACAGGGGGCAAGGAGGAGGAGATCCCCTGCCGGAGGATGAGGAGCGGGAGCTACATCAAAGCCATGGGGGACGAGGACAGCGGCGAGTCAGACTCCAGCCCCAAAACGTCGCCAACGGCGGCCCTGCGGCCGGAGCCCCTGCTGAAGTCCCTCGGACAGAGGCCGCTTGGAGACCACCAAACGTGAGCAAGACCGCCCGCTTTGTTAGACCCCTGGCCAACAATTTCCAAATCCTTTTTTTTTTATAAAAGAACAGCTGGCCCTTCAGCTCCTTATTTATTGCACAGTAACTAAGGAACTCTGCTCAGGCAATTCCTACATCCAGTCTTACTGTCAGTGGGACGCATGGGCTTTTAGACAGGTGGAATTATCCTCACCAGGACGAGCGCGTTTCCATGTGTGTGAGTGCACACCTGGGGCGGGCAGGCATGTCCCTGTGAGTGCACACACCTGGGGCAGGCAGGCATGTCCCTGTGAGTGCACACACCTGGGGCGGGCGGGCATGTCCCTGTGAGTGCACACACCTGGGGCGGGCGGGCATGTCCCTGTGAGTGCACACACCTGGGACGGGCGCGAGTGTCCCCGTGAGTACGCACACCTGGGGCGGGCGGGCATGTCCCTGTGAGTGCACACCTGAGGCGGGCGGGCATGTCCCTGTGAGTGCACACACCTGGGACGGGCTCGAGTGTCCTCGTGAGTACGCACACGTGGGGCGGGTGGGCATGTCCCTGTGAGTGCACACCTGGGGTGGGCGGGCATGTCCCTGTGAGTGCACACACCTGGGACGGGCGGGCATGTCCCTGTGAGTGCACACACCTGGGACGGGCGGGCATGTCCCTGTGAGTGCACACACCTGGGGCGGGCTTGAGTGTCCCTGTGAATACGCACACCTGGGGCGAGCGGGCATGTCCCTGTGAGTGCGCACACCTGAGGCGGGCGGGCATGTCCCTGTGAGTGCATACACCTGGGGCGGGTGGGCATGTCCCTGTGAGTGCACACCTGGGGCGGGCGCGAGTGTCCCCGTGAGTACGCACACCTGGGGCGGGCGGGCATGTCCCTGTGAGTGCACACACCTGGGGCGGGCGCGAGTGTCCCCGTGAGTACGCACACCTGGGGCGGGCGGGCATGTCCCTGTGAGTGCACACCTGGGGCGGGCGCGAGTGTCCCCGTGAGTATGCACACCTGGAGCGGGCACAAAGGCGTGACAATCATGAGGGATCTCTTGTTTACTGTGACCTTACAAGTGCATTTCTGGCAACAGCAGGGGGAGGAAGTGCCTGGCTTACCGGATGTAGTGCCATATGCTTTGTATAACCTACCAAAGATTCGCTTTACTAAATTTAACTATTTCCAGTGTGTTATCTGATATCTGTGAGCAGATAAACTGATATCTGTGAGCAGATAAAATTCTGGGAAATCAGCCGTCCACGTGAACTATGGAAGCAGGACTGTGGCTTCCCCAGCCACGTGGCTGCGCATCCTGGTCCTGCCAGCTGGCTGGGGTGTGGGCCCTGAGGGCTGCCTGTAACCCTGCGGTTCCAGGGTTCCCCACCCTGGGGAACGGCTTCCCCACCGCAGGCTGCGTTGTCCTGGTGAGTGGAAACCACGGGGGAAGCAGCCTCTCTGTGCCTCGCCGGTGTCGCCTGTGAGTTGCTAATTGCCATGCACGCATGAGACGATGCTGCTGCAGACGAGGTGCTGTCTTTGCATCATTCTCCACCGTGCCGGGCGCACAGGATGATGAGCCGATCCTGGTGTGATTCTGTCTGATAAATCCAATAATTTGTTATCCTTACCTTGCAGGATGAAAAATTGAAATTTTCAATTCCAACCAAATCTTACAAATCTTATAAATCAGAACATGATAAATCTGAACCACTACTTTTTTACCTAGTTCCACTAAATTCAAGAGCTCTGGTGTCAGAACGCTGAGCCAGGACCACTGTGCACCCCGGGCCTGTCTGGGCTCTGCCTCCGTGGAGGCTGTGGAAAGAGAGGCTGGGAGCAAAGCCGAAGTCCCTCCCTCCCTGGAGAAGTGCATGGACTTGTGGGAAGGAGATGGGGAAGGGGCGCTGGCCACCAGGAGACATGAGGAAGCGCTTGCTGTGGGGCAGTTTGTGGGGAAGGTGTGCTGGGAGTGCAGGCAAGTCGCTGACCATCTGCTTCAGGGAGGAGGGATTGGGCTGCACAGGTCTCGCCCACCTTGAGGTTGGGGCACTTGATGGAATCTTTGGGGATTATGGATTATCTGAGACCTCTTCTAGGGGAGGGAACGACCTGTGAAACAGTCGTGGTTAGCAGGTCTGGGGGCTCTGACGCCCACCCTCCAGCCGGGGGCTCCGACCCGGCACAGGCAGCTGAGCCTGCTCTTTTAATGTTTGTGATTCACTTCATGACTCTACACATTAAACCATGAAAAACAAAAAAGCAAACCATCTAACATCTGTGCTTCCTAGGTGTAGGGGGTGGCAGCTTATGCTGCAGGGCTTGGGTATTTCTAGCAGTGATGAGCCATGTTTTCATGCAAACAGGGCTCCTCCTCCTCCCCTGCCCTGCCTTGGGCCACCATCTCCCCACAGTGTTGCCGTACCCTCATCCTTTAGTGGTGGACATCGTGGTGTCACCCTCCTCTCTTTAGCTTGGGAACTGGCCCAGAGTCCTGCCTGAGGTGCTCTGGGGACGCTGCTAGAACGTCACATTTATAAAACCCACCTCATCACCTGGTGTAGTTAAAACTCCTTCCAGAAACTGGCAGAGTGAAGAAGAGTCCAAGGCCACATGTCAGTGTCATCTGCAAGTTGGCCGGACTCTTCTGGCCCAGGTGGGACCCCATGCAGGAGTTCGCCCACCACCTGCAGCCTGATTGAAATCGGGGAAGATAAATGAAATGCGCCACCTGCCAGCGGCCCATCCTAGATGCAAGCCCGCTCCTGCATTGGCCCCAGGCCAGTGTCCGCTCTCTGCAGACACCCCCCACCGTTCGTTCCTCCATTTACCCAGGAATCCTCCGCTCTGTTGATCAGTCCAACAAGTGTCAGGATACTATGGGAACCTCTCTTTCCAAGTGTTCACATCATTCTTTCCCCCAAGTCTGACACTGCACTGTGACAACAGCGGGAGGCAGCCCTGCGAGGTCCAGGCTAGCACCAGCACCTGGCGGTGACCTTCTCTGACCCCTGGCGCTCACGGCAGTGCTCACAGCTGCTGGAGGCAAGACGTGGAGATCATCTACGTTAACATGATCCAATATTTTGTCAGTAAATTACATAAGTAGACCATCTTTATTCTATACTTAAAGACTGTTTTAAACAAAATTGATCATTCCAAAATCACATTTAAAATGTACTTGAAGATCACTGGGTTTCGCTGTGCACCGAGTGTTTCCCCTTCTCTGCACCACAGCGCTTCCCCAGCAGGAGCCGATCGACAAAGCCCTCTAAGACGCCGAGTGATTCAAATAATAAAGACAAGACGGAATGTGTGCTCATCTCCACGGATTTTATCCTCCTCTCTGCATGTACAGATAACCTGTACGCACATTAACAGTGTTTAAGAATGCACATGGAATGGCAAGATCAACTCAGTAACGATGCTTTCATTTTAATTTGATGGGCCTGGGTTCAGGTGCTTGTCATAGGATTATGATATCAGCACCTCGGAGGTTTGTGCACCTTCCGTTCACACTGGGTCAGGTGAGGTTCACTGCAGTCTGTGGTTCCTTCTGACTCTGCCTGGTTGAAGGGCAGGAAGAAGGTGGCGTCTGCAATCAGCCATTCTCAGGCCCCTTCTGAGCACAGAGCACAGAACTCCTGTGAGGGCTGCAGACACCTGCTTCAAAAAGCCCTATCTTTTGGAACGATGACAGCATTATCCTTTGAAAACTGTCTTGTCTTCCTGCTGTTAAATTGAGAAAAAGAATCAGTCTTCTCATTAATGATTTAATGTATATATATATATATATATATGAGCACTTTCACTTACCTTTGCGACGTTCTCTGAAACAGCGCACATCCATAGAAAGCCTTTCACTCTAAAAGGCGAAATAAAGGAAAAGCAAAGAAGCAAGCACCTTTCCACACCTGTCCCGGTGCCTTGGTGCTCAAGGACTCTGGCAGCTGTGTGTGCTGGTGAGGAAGGTCCCGGCCCCGGCCTGGCAGAGCCCTGCCTGTGGGTCAGACCTGCCCATACGCAGAGCACCAGGTAGAAGTGCTATCAGCTAATTGAAATGCAAACTTCAAGTTACTACTGAATCCAATTTACTGCATTTTTTAATTAGTTTACACATTAGTGTTTGAGATATTGGACTTGCTTATGTATTAGTGTTTGAGATACTCAAATAACCAATTCAGTTTTGGGTGCGATGAAAGGTAGACTACATAATTTCATTTGGAAGCCTTCACTTTTTTTCCTGCTTAGTTGAATTAAAAAGTCAAAGCTCTAATAATTTTGTACATGTCTGAGTCATTCTCTGATGAAGATATCACTTTAAATTTTTAGAAAAAGGAGAGCTTATTTCATGGACTTCTTCATATCATTCGTAAAGATAAATATTGATGAATTATATATGTAAGCATAAAATCATACATATATACACACACACATATATGTGAATTTTCTATAACCTCGGGCTGGAGAAGAGGTGTCTAAACATAGTTCAGTGGGAAGAAACTATAAGATAGTGACCAACTGGAAATCATAAAATTAAAAACTTATTCACAATAAAAGCAAACTAACAAACTAACAACTGAAGTACTATTACTATGTTAAACAATAATAAAAGGCTGCAAAAGTTTTTCAGCGTAAGTAACATACATTCACATTCTTAACATGTAATGATGCCTAATACATCAATAAGGAAAAAAATGAATGCTGTAAAGTGAAAATGAATAACAGCCAAGAAAAGACTATTTCACATCAATATTAACCACACCACCAATGACTAAAACTTTCTGAAGAGCATACCGTTTAAAACTGAAAATCTAAAAATTTTACTCTGCAGAAATTCCTGGAAAGCATGCGAAGCTGTGACAAACAGGATGGTGTTCACTGCTTCATTATGTGTCGGTGTCAGAACTGAACATTCCCGGGGGGCCCATCGGTGGGGGTTGGTTTGGGTGAGGTGGTAACAGAGAAATCGCCCCTGCTCCAGCTGCCCGCCAAACGCAAGGCAGCGCCAGGGGAA